TACCACTTATCTACCAGTGAGTAAAACTACATCACATATACAAACATAACTACCTACAACTAATTAGTATATATATACTTAATACATATTATATTTTGTATATATAATGTTATATAAACAATATCGGGAAGATATACAGCGTCTTAAGGTTAATGCACTGTGTTATGTGTGAGTATTATATATATATAAATTAGTAATGTATATTAGACAACTACACAGATGAATAGAAACATACAAGACATTACAAGCCTTAATCTACACTATACCAAAATATAATTAATATATAATCACCTAACTGTATGATTAAATCTATACGAGTATTAATCTATAGTATATCATATAGTACTTATATAACTAGCTGCGTGATTATAAATAGATATACTTCTCATCAACAGGCTTATTAAAGTAGTGCAATACAAGAATAAGGTCCTGAGCATAAGTATAAGCTACCTAGTTTAGGCCACCACTAAGTATCTGCCATTATAGTAGTAAACGTCGTGTTTCACAATGTTTCATAGTTCCATTCGAGTACTAATACGTACATTATCTATGATGATAGTATACCGAATTTTATAGTTTATAGTACTGTCTAGATAACGTATCCTTAAATCAACTAAATTAGATACTATAGTACTGTCGAAGACTTATATATAATATCTATAATTGGTGTCTAATATAGATTCAGTGAGTTGCTAGCACACTGTCTTATATATGTAGGTGTATACTTTATAAGGTGAGATCTATTATCCGTGACTCTAAATAGTACTTTTAAATTCAAGTGAGTATGAAGGATTATTTATGAGCTATCGTATATTCATCAATACTATTGTTACTTATTAAAGTGATGTGCTATCGGTGCCTATGTTATATTTATACATGATCAAATTATTAGAGTATGCTAGTGAGTATATTAGCTCATGACTCATCCCGCGCACCGCCCCTCCTCCATAGTAGATATTATTAGTAACAAACTAGTATATTTTGCTACTAATTACAATTAACTGATTTAACTATCCGTTAACCTAGATCAAATTATAGTGGTACTTTATTATTAAGATATTGTAGTGAGAAACAGTATATATGTATTATCAGATTAATACATGCGTCGAGAGTGTTTGCCGTAGTGCGTGTATATTGCGGAATAGATCCCATCACCAAGGAAGGTGATCAATACAGTACCAGCCATTCATGGCAAACAGTCTTGTGTCGTGTGCCTAGTGCTAGTGGTGTGCTGTTTGTACTTGTTGATCTATATTAATGCTAAATGAATTTAAAGTACTCGCTGAATTAGATATACGAAAGTATTGAATGAGATTATATACATAGCAAGTAATCCTACGCCCTAACTTTATCACTAATACCATCTATGATATATCGACAATGTGCCAAGAGTTATATGTAATAACTTGTATGTCACTCTATAATATATATATAGATAGACTACTATCCATGTTAGTACACTTAAAGCATTGTAGCAATAAGTAATATTATAGATTAAATAAGGGTGAGAATGAAAGTATATAGAGGAAACAGCAAACAAGTAAAGTGTAGGCGCATTGAGTATGGCCTGATATATAGAATGTATACAGTTAATACATGTGGACTAAAGATAATAAATAGGATATTATCATTCTCATACTATACACCTAGGCGTAGTACTGCTCAAGTAAAGATGCAGTCTTCCCCGTTAATACAATGGCCACAGGTTAATATAATAAAATAAAACGAAAGGGGCTATTTACTGCAGAGTATCGCGTCTCCTTATTAGTATACAGTATTAGATCTTATATGACTATAATTTTCTTATATTAGCGAGATTGAATGATTTATGTATTTTGACCGATGTTCGTTTAGTCTCTTACCGTATTGCATTCTCTACACTAATTCTATCACAAATATAGGAATGATTATAATGACTAGTTAAAGTATCTAGTGATGTATTATTGGATAAAATTATGCGTGAGTGTTAACTTATGTTCTATGTATATTAATATTTTTATTAATATTAAAACGACTAGACAGCCAGTATCTATTTGATTTATAATAAACTAATTTTCAGAGGAAGCATATCATATAAGATGACTATAATATGAGTGTGTGCCATTATATTCAGTATATGCGTCGGTACGTATACTAAGCATAATCAATGAAATATATTATCAGCGCATTATTTTCTGTGTCTTGAATTTTAAAAGAATAACATAGTCAATGGGCATTATATATTTAATATATTATAGATCACGATGTGCGAGTTTTATGGAAAGGCATTGTGTGTAATACATATCATATTATGTTATAGCAAAATAAATAAATATAAGATTATATATATTAGATTAAATAATGTTATAAATTTAGAAAATTAAGGATAGCTCAAATCTCTATCTGTACTAAAGATATATAGACTAACACACACCTACATCATAATACAGCAGGATATAATTACACATAATTGAGAAATGAATATCATGATATCACATAAGCACACATTTAGCACATCTACACACATCACTATCACTAGTCACACACACAACACCACACACACACCTACAACACGCACTACACAACACTATCACAACTACTCATCTACAGCTATCCCTCTGCTTTCAAATACAATTCAAACTATATACCTTTCACATATATTGTTATATTCTACTCACTAAATAAGAACGATCAGTACTTGATACTTAATTATGATATTCAATGTATGGACTATTATATGATATATGAAGAAGATATATAGTGAAGGCTAGAATTAAGCTCGGTCCACGATCAATTAATATATATAGATTGCGTATTAATCATGTTATATGGAAATTATATAATCCCGATACGCCAGCATCCAGTTGATACGAGTAATAATAAGTGGCCGTGCGTAAACACAGTCTATACTATACTATATATTCTATTAGTTATAATTAATGTATAATTAGATTCGTAGAAGAACAACAATATATAGACTATTATATCAGATAGGCATGTGTACATACACTGTTATTATCCCCAACTCACGTTAGTAACATATTGAATTAATTATAAAGGCTTCAGACTCACATCTAATACATAGTATAATATATTCGTAATAGTAACTATGCGAGAAATATATAGACTAATGACTCCAAATAACCATCCCCTTGTGAGGTTACGGATGTGTTGAACAGCTGCCTATTTAAATATAGTCATATATTTTATAAGTAACGAGTTATGCTTCATCTTACAAGAGAAGTGTATACATATTATTTTTAAGTAGCTTTTGTAGAGCTAACGTAGCTAGACTAGTAAAGTAAGTATGAATAGTATATATAGTAACTGCTATTCCAAAAATAAAATTGAATAAATAAACAATCAGTATTGAGATGGTAAGTGTATTTAGCGAGTATATATGTATAATATTTGACTTAGTATCGGTTAGTAAGTAGAAAAAATAAATAATAAGGACAATAGCTATGAGATTTCACTGTCGTGATTAAAGATTTAGCCTGAGGAACTTTTACCAACAACAAACATCAAATCAGTACACCTCAATACATACAACACACATCGACTACACCACACTCAAGCAGCTACACAACTACGAATAATTTTCTGTAACGGTTCTAGATCCTTGAGTGTTAATATCAGGATGAATATGTGTAGATATACTTATTACGTAGTAGTAAAAAATATATTATGATATAAAATTAGAATACTTTGATAAAAGCTTCACCTGTGTATAGTCAAGTCTAAACGAGATAGTAGAATAAGCACTCAACAAGATTACAGACGAGACCATTGTATTTATATTATATATAAAGTTGAAAGGGCTTCAACTATTATACTGTATCTCCTCACTTGAAATTTATTATAGTCTTTTCGTTAACAGATTTTCTGAAGCCTATTTATTACCTTTGTTATATAGGTACGAATGTGAAGTACACATAATATAAATCACACATCACAACCTACACACATCTCTACAACTACAACAACACAATAGACTCACAACAATCACGTGGTGTTCTTGATTGATGTTCCTTATGAGTATAATAATAAAGGGGAAAAATAATTTAATGTTAGGAATAAATTAATAAAAATGATCTTCAGTGCTTTTCCTTTGTATATTATATATATCAAGTTATATGTGTGGCCTGATTAGTTATATATAACTATATAAACACACATATAAACAATAACAACATACACATACTAAACTGTACAAATATAATAGGTTGTGTGTAGTGTGTGTTGATGTGTGTGTGTTGTGTGTGTGTGAAGGATTACAGTGTGTGTAGTGCGATATGTATGTGTGTTGAGATGTGTGTGTGTATATTATATATAGTGAGTGATTATATATGTGAGTGTTGTGTAAATGCTGAGGTTTGTATATTTAATTAATTATAATTAATATAGTATTATAATATATTAATAATGTGTGTGGGTGTTGTGGTAGTTGTAGTTAGTTATGAGGCAGATGTTGATGGTTAGATAGTTAGTTGTGTGTGAGTGTGTGTGCTGTGGTAATACTAACTAATATATATATACTAATATACTATAAATATATATGAACGATTAAAGTAATTATATACTTATATATATCATATTATAGTGTAAATTATAATTGAAATTAACAGTAACACTATACACAACACATCCGATTGTAGCTTATGCATGTCGACGGACTATAGTGTTGCGAGCGCTGATAGCTAGCTACATACTGATTCACTATATGCGACATGCTAATCCATGTATACTATATTTAATGAGTATATAATGATAGAATGACTAATAGTATAATAGTAATAAAATACTATATTAGATATAACTTAATAGTGTATATATATAAATTATATAACACACACACGTCAGTATATCCAGCTAGTGTGAGGTGTAGTGTGTTTGTACATTGGATTATTACGAATAAAAACCCACTATAACATCATGTGGTGTAGTGATGGATTTATGCGTATTAGTGAACATTTTAAAGCAGGTAATTTGCCAAAAGACACCAGGTAGCAAAACGGAAT